TTTATTTTAATCCCTACATTTATCCCTTTCTTCTTCTGCATACACAACTTTACCTTCTTCCTCGTTTGTGCCTTAATCTATTCATGCACATACATACATACATCTTATTCCTTAACTGCTGCAATTCTCTAATTCAGTATTAATATTAAAGCATACATTTAGGAGCCCCAACCATGTACATGTATGGCAATGGTATTGGTGTCACTTTCGAATTGATTTGTTTTTTGCTTTATGTTAAACTAATTTGAAATTTTATAAAATTGCCTGGACATCAGCATCAAAATATCTTTCTAATGATGTATACCTTAAAAGTATAGTTTAGCCGTAAAAGCGGTGTAAAGGAAATATGATTGCCTATTTATATATAAGATTTACAAAAGTTTATTTTTGGTACAAACATTTTTTTTCTTCTTCTTTCTTTTTTGTTCATTTTTGGCTCTGTGGCAGAGTCTTTTTAGGCCGAACGCCATCGAGCAACAAAAAATGCCGTTTTCACACCACCTTAATATACATACGTACATAACTACGAACGCAGAACGCATCAAATGCACACTCTAAAGACTCAAGTTCCCTGTAGGTAAATCCAACATTTCAGAATCAAAATATGTACATTGTAACAGTTTATATAAAATGTAAAGTATTCATATACATATACATGTGCGTAGCCAGGTAGGGGCAGGGGGGTGCTCGAGCCCTGCCCTTAACTTTAAAATTTTCCTTATATATAATTTTAACTAAATAAATGTTAATTTTTTGTTTGTGATTTTAACAATTCTTGTAAATTTGAGGTGATTTGTCAAATACTATATTTGGTAAGCTATAACTTTTGAATGGTAATCATTCCAAAAAAAAAATGTTTTTGTCTACACCGAAGTCGAATATTAACTGCCCTTTTTACGCACAAAAATATGCCGATCGCGCAGCAGTGAAAATCACTTAGATTGGTGCTATATAAGGCATATCTTCCATACCTCTGATTGTTTAGATATGACTTTTTTATATATGTAATTCCTCTATCCATGTATACTGTGAATATATACATTTTTTAAGATGCAGTAATCAGTTAAAGTAAAATTTTCTGATGTTCATGGAAGGTATGAAGCATTCGGCATAGCCGAAGACAGCACTGCTCTTACTTGTTTTACTTTTATCTTTATCTTTTCCTTTGCCTTTATCCTGATCTTTATCTTCATTACTTTCTTCATTTAAATACTCACCCGCACCATCGTCATTACATTAAGTATTTACATTTCTCTTCTCTTTGTCTTTATCTTTAGGTTTCTATTTTAAGAAGTATGTGGACTATTAAGTTCGATTGAAAGAGTAGTATCGAATTACGACAAAGTGCTAGTAATGGCGACGACTTTACTTGGGTTGAATTTTCCGGGATGAGTTTGCATTGGGAGCCTTTATTTGGGATGGATTTTCAGGGATGAAGTTTTGAAGTTTTTTGGGATGAGTTCTCTGGGACGAATTTACCTAGAACCGGAAAGAGGATAACTATCCGACAAGGTAGATGTCTAGACTAGTTTTGCATATTCTGTGTATGTATTCTAAGTTCTTTGCTATAATATCTGGACATACAAGAGAGTGAAATGAAAAAAAACGTGTTAGAAAAACCACGGAAATGAAAAATCAGAAAATTAATTTTTTGGTTTTACAATTACACAGGTTCACAAAAAAAAAACTTCTGCATAATAAAATTTAATTTGTTTGTTTCAATTGTCGCTGAATCCGAATAGGTCATGCCAAAGTCATCTCAAGGTCAAAAGCAGAAGAATAGTATTGAATTTTCTGGTTTATTCAATGAATTTTTCCCTAGTTGACCTTCCACTGACCTTGAACCTGACTTGACTGAGGCTAACAGACTTCGGATTCGCATTCAGCGCGTCGAGTAACATAGAAATATAGAGGTTGGGTTCAATATGCAGAAACCTTTTTTTTCTGTAAACCTGTGTTATTTTTAGTTTCTAAAAAGGTGCCAAAGGTACCAACTCCTTCAAAAATATTTTCGAAATAAAGCTTTCTCATTTGATCTCCATGTAAAAATATTTAATCTAACTCGTTAACTAAATTGATATGGTAATTCTAAACAGATGGTTTTTTTCGAAATGACGCTTTCTTAAAGATCTCTCATTTGATACCATGTATTTATGTAGATTCATTCATTTTACTTTTTAACCGACTTCCAAAAAAGGAGGAGGTTATCAGTTCGTCGGAATATTTTTTTTTTTTTTGTTTTTTTTTTTTATGTATGTTACCGCATAACTTTGGACCACGTCAACCGATAATTCTTTTTGCATCGGAAAGGTAGTGTCTCAGAGGTGGTCCCATACTAATCTGGTTAAGATCCGATCAGCGGATCATGAGATATATATATATATTTTTTTTTTTTATATGAGAGTTGAAGTCGGTTTTTTTTTTGCTAAAAATTACTAGTTAATTAAATAGATTTTGAATATCTTAACCGGTGGCAACCGTCTTTAAAAATGTTTTCGGTATACATAAACCTCTCTTAAATTCGTCTCGTCTAACACCCACATTAAGATATTTCGTTTATATAACTTGTTAATTAAATTGATTTTGAATTTATCACTAGATACAGAGTTTTCTTAAACACTCTCACGTCTGATGTCCGTATAAGATATTTAATTTAACTTGTTCATTAAATTGGTTTTGATTCCCTCATGGTAGCCATTTTCAAAAATATTTTCGAAACCTCTCTCGTTTTACGCCCATATTATACCAGTTCATTTTCATTCAAATTTCAACCAGGTGAAATGAAGCTCTCTTAAACCTCTCGTTAAGATTATTTCCATATAAAATATTTAATAACACTGGTTCATTCAATTTATTTTGTACTCCAAAATATGTGGCAACCCTTCTAAAACGCATTTTCGAAATAAAACTTTCTTAAACCTGTCTCATTTAATACCCAAGTACAAATCTTTTATTTAACGTGGTAATTACACTTAATTTTACTTTTTGAACAGGTGGCAATCCTCTTCAAAATTATTTCGAAATAAATCGTTTTGAACCCATTTCGCTTCACACCCGCATTGCTGTAATATTTTATTTCACCTTTTAATTTAGTAATTTTATCTTTCTAAAACGCAACTAGGCTTGAACTCCGTGAAATTATAAAAAAATATATATATTAATGTTATATATAGTACATCATATAGAAAACTTTCGGATTTTAATACATTTTTTTATAATTTTCTTGTTTTTTTGTCTTCGCTTTGAAAAGAACTATATCAAAATATATCACGTCTCTTTATTTTGTCGACAAAGTTGTTATTCATTAGAAAGTTCCCGATTTTCGCCCACAGAAATCAGGTCACCGTAAATCTATCCAATAATCGCAAAAAATATGGCGGAAGCAAACAGAGCATCAAAGCAGAAAATCGTTAAAATTTAATTTACAAAGGTACGGCAATCGTAGCTAGTTAACGCCAAAATATACATATATGTAGTATGTATGCCATCGACGAGCTGCACATATGCCACACGCTTTACAAAACAGCTTATATGATTTGAAAAGTTTTTATTTCCTTTTGGCAATTTAGTTTCTAGTAAATAGGTGAAATGTGATAAGTCGATTTAGACTGGTGTTTGCCTTTATGGTGATTATAATGTTGGTGTGTACGCATGCGACAGGCACCTGCATATAAGCAGATATTGAGAATATTTCCTCCAGCCACACTATTCATGCCGCTAAGAAATGCTTAGTCGAGATAATATGAATTGTTACGAAAATAGATGAAGAAACCAAAACAACAACATATGTATGTATGTATGCGATATACCATAATTTCAGAGACTTGTGTTAATTGTTGCAGGAGAAATCAGCTAATTTGCAAAAGGCATTCTACACACACACACACACATGCGCACATGCGCACACAACTAATACAAAGAAAGAAACAAATGCACAAGTAAAGTCTTACTTGCATTGACTTTTGAGCGACGTACCGACTTTGTTTTGTCTGTCAGTGTATGCACATTGGGGCGGGTCGAAAAACAAAAACGGTTTGATACGAAAATTGTATAGGTCTTAACAGGTGCTATTTTAATACCTTATTCTTGAAAAAAAATCCTGGTTCTCTCTCAGTCTGCGGAATGAGCTTGAAAAATTGAAAATAAAAGCGAAAATAACAATTTTTCAAATTCTTACAACGACTTTTTCTTCCTATCATAAAGTCATAAAAAAAAATAGATTAAAGAAAACAAAAGTAAGTAACATCAATATTTCCATAAATTAAAAAAATAAGTAGGAAATAGAGATTAATTGATTAAATTATTGATGTTGCTTACTTTTAATTTGCCCAATTTGTTTTTTTTTTGTGATTTTATGATAGAAAATAAGTTCCGGATTTGATCAACAAAAATCGTTGTAAAAATTTGAAAAATTGCTATTCCCACTCTTATTTTTAATTTTTCAAGCAAAGAATCAGATTTCTTTCCAAGAATAAGGGATTAAAATACCACCTTTTAATATCTATACAATTTTCGTACAAAACATTTTGTGTTGTTCGCCCCGCCCTAATGCACATATGCAAGTGCACATGCCCGCTGTTTGAAAGTAGCAGCAGCAGATAGCTAGCTACTTGCAACATTGCTTACTTAGCAGCATTTGCGTAATTAAGCGATTTGGGTCGTCGCGGGTCGTTGATTTGCGCTGAGACCGGGTCGCATCACTGGCATAAGCGAATCTACTTGCAGACCTACTCACATATGTATATATGGACGTATTTTCACAGGCGCACCCACATCCACACTCATAACGAAATTTTTGCGACAGTAAATTGTTTGTTGTAATTGCATTGAAACGTTGCAACTGCATTCACCTTTGTGTTTGCACACATACCTACATACATAATTACGTATAAATGTGGGTTCTTTGCTTACCCCCCTTAAAATCCACGACCTTTTATATAGTTATTTATGTAGCAATGAGTAAGTAAGTATGTTAATGCTTTCGCAGTTATTGCACTTACCTGGGCTGGTTTGCCAACTTAATCCGCCGATAAACATTTTCCTGCAATGAAACGGAGAAAGAAGAGGAATTTAATTAAAATTTGGACCAGTAAATGTGATTAAAATGTGGAAATACGCGCTTATATACATTCATACAAATAGGTGTGTACATACCTATGTGTGTATATATATTTATTTGATTCGAAGTAAATTAATAGCAGAAGCATGTTTGCTGTGAAGTGACATGCAACCTCATAGATTCTACTAAAAGTTCATTTTCAGTTGGTGTATTCAGGCAGAGGTTAATTTATTCCAGACTATCAAATCAATCAATAGCAGATTAACTTCGTACTCGCTTAGTACAGATAAAAGCAAATTAGTTTTTTTCACGAGCCTAGCTTATATCTGCGCTTGTAAAAGAAGCTTTTTTCTGATCTCATTTCTGGGACTGATCAATATTGGAGAAAATTCGTGAAAAAGTTATATAGTTTCCCCTTTCATAATAGTTTACTTTTCATGTTTATCCGACTTCGAAAAAGGAGGAGTTCGTCAATTCGTCAAAATATTTTTTTAAATTTTTGTATGTACATATGTTACGTGATAACTTGGGACCAAGTGAAAAGGTTTCAAATATTTTTTATCGGAATGGTGGTACCTCAAGTGTGGTTCCATGCTAATTTGGGTTATTTCCGTTTTTTTTTTGGATCATGAAGAAATTAGATTAGATTAGATTTAGAGGAGGGAACAGGTCACCTAGTTACCGCGACCGAAAATGATCTATTGTAACATACCTAAGACAACTACAGGTCATCATTGATCCACGTATTGCTAAGAAACCTCGCGAGGTCTTTTGGCTGAATGCCATTTAGGTCGTGTACTTCTAGGTACGGTGATCATAGGAAGCGAAGTTTGGTTCTGGTGAGGGCTTCACAGTGGCACAAAATGTGCTCAGGACTCGGCCTGTCTTGTACCTTACGTTGTTCTCTATACTGTCCCCTGAGAAAAGCCTTGCTGTAAACAGCAGAGCCTCTTTCTTGATTACAATGTGTTTGAGAAGCAGGTGAGGAAGTACCTCGAGAGCCGCAGTTGGTGTTATTCCCATCGCACCAGTGATGCCCACGCCGGCCAGTGGTTGTTGGTGGCCACCAGACGAGTGGCAGCATTAGTGAGAATAGATTTGGAGATGGTATCATCCATCCACCTTGCCAGTTTAGGCAAGTTCCATGCCATAAGTTTCCTGCATGTCCAGATAGATCCCTGGTCTTTTGATTAGTTTTATCATCAAGGATAACTCCAAGATATTTCACCTTCTTTGGTGAAGTGTATCTTTTCACCTTGAAAGCATGATTTTAGTTATTTGTCCCTTTTCCTGAAAAAAAATATTACTATGCTAGTATTCTTGGGTTTTACGTTCAACCCATTGTCACTACACCAATTGGTGACTGTGTTCAGAGCATTCTGTAGGAGATAATGTTTTCGAACCTACCTCTGATTAGGATTAGAATGTCATCCGCATAGCCTTCAACGTCGAAGCCGTTTTCGCTACGAAGGCAGAGTAGTTCGTCTGAGACGATGGATCACTCCGCCCTGCGGGCAATCTTTCGTAGCTAAGAATCTAACCCTTTCCTGTCCTACAGCGGATGTAATGGTTCTGGATTTAAGGACGTTGGCTATCCAGCGGCTTGTGATCAACCCCTCTGCTCCGGATGCAATTGTCTATTAGAGAGTGTTCCGTGTTGTCAAAAGCGCCCTCCACAGCCAAGAAACATCCCACTGCCACCTCTTTGTCCTTAAAGCACTTCTCGATTTTCCTTGTTCCGTCTTCTTGGAATATGGGCTTATTGGTGTCTATGTGATGTGCCTGTCTACGATTGTTTCCATTGTTTTTAGTAGAAAGGACGTAGGAATAATGAATCGGTAATAATTTATTTGGTCCGCTGGTTTTCCCCACCTTTGGGATATAGCGGATCGTCACTTCTCGCCATTGAAGTGGAAGGGACCCCCACGCAAAATATGCTCTAAAAAAAGGTATCAGGAAGGGTAACAAGCGAGAGAGTCCCTTTTAGAGATGAGCTGGGAAAATACCATCTGCTCCAAGAAATGGCATCTGCTGAAGAAAGGTGCTTAAAAATTTCAATATTGGAATTGATTCACTTGAATAGGTGTAGCGTCCTTGAGAAAAGAACATAAGAAAATAATAGAATTGTCGTTAACAACTTCTTAAGAATTTTAGACACAAAGAGGTGTGCTTTCAATAGCAGAAAATAAGAAATTAAAGGAATACAGGACTTTCGGGGCCATCTTTTGCGACAGTATCTTTATCTATTTCGTTATGTTTGTCTTTTCCAATATTTGGCGTATGGTGATTATCTGGTCTATGGTGGATTTGCCAGATCTGAAGCAGGTTGGCCAGGTAGGTCTACTATTTGGAAGCAGAAGACAAGTTCTTTCAACAGAGTCGGATTTCAAATAAAGGAAAAATTGGAGTATGCGTCGAGCACTTAAAACATATCCCTCTAAGAGATCAGAAAAAGACCCCTTAAGAATTTTTAGAGGTGCTTGTAAATTTTTCGGCATAAAAGTGTTAACTTTTTTAGTTTATGTTTTCACCGCTTCTAACGTTTTCTAACCTTTCTTTTAAGTCAATTTAGCTTAATTTTTTGTGATCATCTGGTCACACTGGCCTAAAGCCACACTGACAAGTAGGGATGGGCAAAAGACATCGATGTTTTCAATGCTTAAAGACCAATGTTATTTTTGTCAATGGTCTTAAAATCGAAACGTTGGGAATTAATTGTTAATATTATAAAATTATAAAACTGTCAAATGAAGAGCAGTGTTGCATTCATAAACAACTAGTGAATGAGCTGAAGCAAATTATATCAACCATGTTTAGAAGAATAGAAGGCAGTCGCACCAAAATAACGAAATAGTTAAAGAAATAATTAAAATTTCGTGTGTAAGAATTTTGGCGCCTGTCTGAATAAATAATTATTTAAACAAACGTTTGACATTTATGCACTTGCATAAAAAATTGTTTTTTTTTTGCGTTCCAGCAGTTTTTCTTGTGAGAGATATTTTGCTTTTTGACAGTTTTACAGGTTTATCTTTAGTATTTTCTAGATTTCTTTTAAAATATCGAAAGCATCAATGTTTTTCGATGCTTCTTGTCGAAGTTTACTACATTGATTTTTTTAATCGGATATATTGACATCGATATTAGCGACATTCTTTCTGTCGATATCACAACCCTACTGATAGCTGCTCTTGCAGGGGTTCGTCTTAATATTAAAAGCTACCGCAATTCGCCTAACTTTCTTATAAAATTTCCGTGCATTTTCTGTTGTCCACCATTTAAAGTTCATCACTGCAACCAGACAGTGGTCCGAGTATATTTTTGGCCGGTGGAGCGTACGTACATCTAAAATATTGGAAGCATGCCTTACGTCTATCACAACATAATCGATTCAGTTTGTCGCTTTTCGATCCGAAGGCAGCCATTTATCGTAATGGATTTTCTTACGCTGAAAGCTAGAATTTCCGACGAGTGACGAGATCCATTCCTTGCCAGCACATAAAAGGACGTATCTACGAGCTTATGGACGATATATTCGGGTTAAGTTCACGAATTCTTCAAACGTTTCAGGTCACGTTCAGGACGATTTAGGGACGATTTTGGGGCTGTTTCAGGATTATTTTGGCATAATTCGGGTGAATTTCGGAACGATTTCAGAAAAATTTCGGGCCTAGTTGGCATTTTGGGACCTGGTACTCGCACTTTTTTTCAAGTTCTTCATATCTAGCGAATTAAATCAGAGTTGGTTACTTTACTGGGTCGCATGTAATACTTTTTTAAACTTGCCAGGATAAACTGGCTAAATCATTTGCTGAAATTTTCCGCCATTAAATAAGTTTTAGTATAAATTGTTGAGTGCCCAATTTGTAAGGCCGAAATGAGGTCTGGAAGGTAGGTCGGATGAGCTGTCGGTGGGGTAGATTATCTATTATTATCATCATTAGAGCAAAGCAGCTTTCCTGCTTGCTATTGTTTTCAAATGCTAAAGTCTTCTCATTGCAGCAATGAGACAGCTTGCAACAACCCGCTACATACATACATATACATGCATATGCATTGTATATACCCTGCAGAAAAAAAGTATCAACTGAAAAAATAATCCACTTGTGGTTAGCTTTTTTGCAGAATTTCAATAAAATATATAACTTTTAGTCAGCTGCAAAAAGCTAACTTGAAACTAGTTGAAAAGTAATATATGTAGGTGTAATGCAGGCGCAATCGGAAGCTTGTTCTCTTTAAAAAAGCTTCAATTTAAATATCCTCATAAAAAGTTTGCTTTAAATACACTTTTGTGACCTTAAGTTCCTTCCAAATCAACTGCAAGTTAACTTGTTATTAGATACATTTCCTGCAGGGTATCTACTATTTACTGTATACTGACTTATATTCGCCAATAGATGAATGTGTACGAATATACTGAAATATATATGTACATACATACATATATTCACATAAATACATCACCGGCACAATTGAGAGAGATTTGTGACGACGACAGCAAACTAAAAATGAAACAAAACAAAATCAATTTCATACAAAGGCAGCAACTGAAACAGCAACAACAGCACAATAACAATAGACGAATGCAGCTAGAGTGGCAGCAACGAATTACAACAACAACTGTATCATCAGCAATCAAACTAGGCAGCGGCAAAAGTAAAACAATGAAACAAAGGGATTTTTAGCGGCCCAGAAAGAGAAAACTCAAGAAAAATTCAACAAAGCAGCAGTAACAATTACGTACAAAACAATTCGCACGAGCCAGCAAAAACGCTAGCCGGAAAAAATGCGACAACTGTTAAAACAAACTAAGAAAAAAAACACATGCCACATTAGAGAGCTAAAAGTTGAATGGCAAAGTCAAAGCTGGAGCAAGAGTGAATCTGAGTAATACGTCTTATTCAATTCTACCGCTTGAAATAAATATTTATGCACTTTGGAATAAAGTTACTCAGAGTTCTGCGACACTGATTTAGAGAGCGCTG